TATTATTATTATTATTATTATTATTATTATTATTATTATTATTATTATTGTTGTTGTTGTTGTTGTTATCTCTTTTATACATTCAACATAAAACTCAGTCAACAATATTTAAAAATGTATCACAAATATTATTGACTGGAACTGATGGTTGAGAGTCTCTTCATACGATATGGGTTCCTGATTTGCTAGTTCAGTAGCTTACATGAGCTAGTCCTCTATTAGAGACATTTGTCTTGCACATATGAATTTGTCCAACATCTCAATTGTATGACAACATCTCAATTGTTGTCATACATCAAAGACCACCTAATCTGTAATGCTTCCATGTTTGATTGAATTACAGAATGTGGCATGGAAGTACAAGTTCAATCTGGATTTATTCAAGGCACCAAAAGATGGTTATTCTGATATAGAATGTAAAACCATCAAGAGATTGGTCTTTTGGTATGGAATGGTAAAAGAAATTTTCTGATGAGCATTTAATCTTTCTTTCATAAATGTGCTGGGATTGGAAGAGTCCACTGAATAGCTTGGAGCCAATTTAGTATTTTAGGTAGTTTTTATATAATGTTTTATCAGTCACAGCTTAAAAGGGAACAAGATGGAAATGGAATGGATCCACTCCTTTCTGGGAACTAATAATGTAATTAGATGAAAAAGAAAAGATTGTACGCTATCTTGAAAAGAGAGAGTCAAATGATGTTATCATCAGGTAAAAATGTTTTCAGCTTCTCTCCCATAATCATAAAACCTCACTGAATCTGTTATTTTTCAGAAAAAAAAATCTGGTAACAAATTGGACAGCCTTGTTACCGTAGTATAGCTGAAATATACAATTTGCCCTTGAATCAATACTATATAACTTACTTTATTTCTAACATTATGCCTGAAATTCACTTGTTGCAGTACAGTAATAAAGCAAGTTACATAATTTAATTTCTATAATGCCATGGGTTATTTTTCTGTGTCTGAATAAGCCGTGCATAAGTATTTATCAAATTAAAATAAAATATTATTGCTTTTTTCAAATCTAATAAATTAATAACATATATAATTAAGGCAAGAAAACTCTAAAAAATAAATATACTAAATTGGCTTAAGAAGTTAACCTTTTTTGTCCTAACATTGTATAGAAAAGAAATC